CAAGTTGGTAACCAGGTAACCTAGCTGCTATCTCTCTTTCTGGAGTGGGCCCGGAAGAGGTGGACCTTACCTTTGTTTCCCAATCTCTGATATCACAAAACAAGGGGGAAATCCTACATGTGGATCAGAGATATCTTGATCTCAGGGCATGGAGGTTGGATAGTTGTTGACCGTAAAGTATGCCTGCTTCTCTTCAATCAGGAATATCATCATGTGACACTTTCTCGGGCGCCCAGGACTATGGGTCCCTTGTCTCCAGTGTGAGAGAGTTCATCCTGTGATAGCTTTTTGTCAGCTCTTGTACACCGCCAGCCTTTCAACTACTCAAACACTCTCCTCAGGACTCCACCAGTCCTATTTTGCTTCGCAGGTTAACATTAGGTGCACCTCAGTCCCCAAAATCCCTTTGAACAGTGTTCCTGGTAGCATCCAGACCCTGTCACTGGACACTCTCAGTGATTACCAGGTAAGCTGTTCCCCAAGAGACAGCCTGTATACAGCTGGAAGGTTACAGCTCAGGATCAGGTCCTTTATAATAATACAGCACTGTAATCTATTTATGGGGTCACCAAATGAACTAGGGGTCACCAAATGAAATTAATAGGCAGCAGGTTTAAAACAAATGAAAGGAAGTATTTTTTCACACAACACAACCTGTGGAACTACTTGTCAGGATGTTGTGAATGTCAAGACTATAACAGGGTTCAAAAAAGAACTAGATAAGTTCAGTGGCTAGAGGATAATCGGGATGGGCGGGGGGATGGTGTCCCTAGCCTCTGTTTGCCAGAAGCTGGGAATGAGCAACAGGGGATGGATCACTTGATGATTACCTGTTTTGTTAATTCCCTCTGGGGCACCTAGTATTGGCCGCTGTTGGAAGACAGGATACTGGGCTAGATGGACCTTTGGTCTGACCCAGTATGGCTGGTCTTATGTTCTATTAAGTATAAAAAGTAGGATTTAAGTGGTTTCAAGTAATAACAGACAGAACAAAGTAAGTTACCAAGCAAAATAAAACAAAACATGCAAGTCTAAGCCTAATACATTTAAGAAACTGAATACAGGTAAATCTCACCCTCAGAGATGGTCCAATAAGCTTCTTTCACAGACTAGACTCCTTCTTAGTCTGGACCCAATCCTTTCCCTGGTACAGTTCTTGTTAGTTCCAGCTCGGGTGGTAACTAGGGGATTTCCCATGACTGGCAGCCTCCTTTGTTCTGTTCCACCCTCTTTTATAGCTTTGGCACAAGGCTGGAATCTTTTGTCTCTCTGGGTCCCCACCCCTCCTTCTAAATGGAAAAGCACCAGGTTTAAGATGGATTCCGGTACCAAGTGACATGGTCACATGTCCTGTGAGACCCCAAGCCTCCATTCTTTCTGGCCTGACTCATAGGAACACAGGAAGGCTTACAAGTAAACAGAGCCATTTATAACCAATCGTCCTAGTTAATGGGAGCCATCAAGATTCCAAGCCACCACTAATGGCCCACACTTTGCATAATTACAATAGGACCTCAGAGTAATACTTCATATTTCTAGTTTTAGATACAAGAAGGATACATTCATACAAATAGGATGAACACACTCAGTAGATTAAAAGCTTTGTAATGATACCTTACAAGAGACCTTTTGCATGAAGCATATTCCAGTTATATCATATTCACACTTATAAACATATTTCCATAAAACTTATGGAGTGCAACATCACAGACCCCACGTTTGGGAGGGGACTTTGGAGTGAGGAGCTGGATATGGGGGCGGGAGAAGGAGAGGACGTGGGACGGCCTTACTCTCCTGTGCTGACACTTAAGATAAACCTTAAAATCTTTCATGGGTTAAAGTCCATAATTCACTTATTTTTGCTGTATTTGAAAATTAGAATCTAATGCCCTTTGCCCCTACACTACGCTGTCCCAGCAACGGCCCACGGGTCAGCTGAGTTCCAGCCTGCACCAGCAGGGAAGACACATGGACTGGCTCTCCTCTCACATTGGTTTTGCACCAGTGAATCCCCATGAGCTTCAATGGAAATGGAAGTCATGGACTGTGATTCAGTCTGACCCAGGGCTGTTTCACCTTGATACACTGTATTTCTATACTGTAAGGCACTGCAATCCAAACGATCCCAACACAAACACTTTGCAGAATTCGTTACTCACCACTGAAATACAGCCACCACTGGGGTGGGAGGAAGCAGCTGGTTTATAGCGCACAGCAATGCCACATGACAGACCACTTTAGAAAGGAAGTGAAAATTCATCAATTCCAAGGCCAGAAGGGGCCTGTGTGATCATCCAGTCTGATCTCCCATACAGCACAGGCCAGACAAATTCCTCAAAGCAATTCCTAGAGCAGAGCTTTAGAAAAACACCCAATCTTGATTTAAACATTTTCAGTGACAGAGAATCCACCACGACCCTTGGTGAGTTGTTCCAATGGTTAGTTACTCTCACTGGTAAAGATTTTCACCTTATTTCCAGGCTGAATTTGTCTAGCTTCAGCTTCCAGCCATAGGCTCATGTTTTACCTTTCTCTGCTAGACTGACAGCCCAGGATTAATCATTTGTTCTCTATAGAGCAGCAGTCCCCAAACTTTTGAGGGTTGCACCTCCCCTTATCCCTGTCCAGGCCCCGCCCCCCAACCTGCTGAGGCCAAGAGCAGGGCCCCAGTTCCAGGGAGGCAGGGAGGGGATGCGGACTGGGGTAAGGGGCAGAGGCTGGGGCCACAGCTGGGGATAGGTCTGTGGCCAGAAACAGGCCACAGCCAGGGGCCGAGGCTGGGGGCAGGGGTGGGAGCAGAACTGCAGCTGGCTGCCATGTGGGCCAGCAGCCAGGCCCGCAGCCTGGGGTAGTTCTGCGCCCGGCCTCACCCCCAGCCTCAGCCCCAGGCTGGGAACTAGAGCAAAGCTGGGAGTGGGGAGGGGCTGGGTGGCACTCCCTGCCCCCCGGGGGGGCTGGCCCGGCCCCGCCGTGCACCACCGGACATTCATCCGTGCCCCCCTAGGGGATGCACCGACAGTTTGGGGACCTTAGCTCTAGAGGCAGAGAGAATTTTGCAAGGCATAATCTAATTATTGTGTCCTGGCCTAAATGCCCAGGCTGATCTCTATAACACTTTTGATGGCCACAGGGGACTACAGATCATCAGTGTCGTGTCTCATCCAAAAGACAGCAGCACACCTGGCCCCTAGCACTGTGTCCGGTACAGAGCAGCATCTACCGAATCACTAGAACCATTTCCAGATACTGACCAAACCTGAACCTGTTTAACTTGTGATAGCAGAGCAGATCACAGCTCCAAGGGCTACAACCGCAGATCACACTGAAAGCCTGTAGGAATCCCTTGTAAGGTTGTTCCTTTGGGATCCGCTCAGTTACTTTGGCTCCAGTCCAGTACAATGACTGTCCAGGCCAGATAAGGCCAAACGTATGTCTGATAGAAGTCTTCCAATGAAACAGGATTGACTCCTTTGGAATAAGTATGTTGTTGTGCATAATCCATGGGGAAACCCAGCAAATTTTTCCTTCCTGGTGGGCCTGGGCCTTGAACTGATTGGGTCACAGAGGAAACCAACTGTAACCCCCTGATATGTACCAGTTCCTCTACCATGGCCAAAGGGGCTAGAGATTCTGCTTCCATGAATGCATGTGGAGAAATCTCTTTTAGATGTTCTTTTCTTGTCGTACCAATTTTTAAAAAAGACTTCAAAAGCCCCTGGCTCTGCATAGGGGCCAGGCATCTGTCAGAGATTTTATAAAGCAAGTCTTTGTTTACTACAGCTAGGGATGGCCAAAAAAAGCTCCTAGGACCAGGAGAAAAAATAATACCCAGTACAGTTTTCCTTGCTCTCATCAAACTCAAAATAAAACTGGACCAATTGGGAACAAAACATAGAAAGGCCTCCACTCAAAGGCCCAGGCTCCGCATGCGACCACAGATAATCACAAGTCAAACATGCTCAGTGAGCTCAACCTCCTCCCCATGCGTGCATAGATCAAACACCCCACAGGAACAAGTGTCCCTATTTAGGAGAGCCAGGACTCTGCATTGGCAGAGCTGCGAAAGGGCCCAGAGGACAGCTTGCAGGGGGTGCTGCAGTTCAGGGAGGATGTGCTTTGGCACTAGAGTAGCACAGGATTAAAATAGCAGGCCCCTTGCAAGCTACAACCAAGGTACCCTTGCTGAACTGTTGCAGAGGCAGCATTGGAATACCTGTGGATCACAGCAAAGGTGCATGAGGCAGCATAGTCTAGTGGGTAGAGCAGTGCTTTGGGACTCAGGAGACTTGGGTTCTAGTCCCAGCTCTGCTACTGGCCTGCTGGGTGACCCTGGGCAAATCACTGCCCTGCTCTATGCCTCCATTTCCCCTGAGTGAACGATACTGACTCACTCAGAGCTAGGTGTAATTGTTATTTTATCAGAGTGGTTGCTGGTCAGGACCAAGATACACTGGATTCTGTCTCTGACTTGCCACTGGCGTCAGTCCCTCCCTTTCAGAAACACTAAACACTCCTCACATTCCAGAGAGAAAACCCTAGAAAGCTACTTGATAAGTCTCCTGGTGGAAGAGGGGCTGAAATCCTGACCCGACTGTAGTCAATAGGGGCTTTGCCATTGTCCTCAGTGGGGCCATGGTTGTAAGACTGGCTGGGAAGAATAATCTTATAATCGCTAGGGCCAGGAACAGAGTGCTGTGGGATGACGGGAGGCAGCAGTACTGTGAGATTAAAGGGTTACACCAGGTTTTAACAAAGCCACTGTAAACCAGCACAGCCCATCCCCGTCCTGGGCAGGTGTCAATGCAGAGTTTCAGAAAGACACTTTCATCCTCTCTGTATTTGGAAAGTTTGAGTTCCTGGAAACGGGGTGACCCATCTGTTATGGAGGAAGAAGATTAATGAGCCTTGGCCTCCAGTTGGCAGGAGCACAGCCAATGAAAATAACCTCTGGGGCAGCTGCTTCACTGGGATTGCAACAGCCTGGCCTTCATTTTGCTTACCTGGATTAACCTGAGCTTTGGCAGCACTTGGGATGTGGAGCAACAGCAGCAGGAGGGGCATCCTGGGAGGGGAGATCATCATGGCAGGTTACTTCAGCCCCAGAGCAGCAGCTGAATGGGGAGATAAAAGAAGCAGTCGAAGACATTAAGCAGGACAGTGGGAGTATGAAATTGTCACTGCTGTGAAGGGGCAATACTGTGCAGCTCAATGCACACGGAGCAGAGATGCATGAGAGAGGCCCAGATGCAGTCTGAACATCTCTAAGACTTGGGGGATTCTGATCCAGGGTTCCCGCCCTTGTCCGATACAGTGGAACACTCATCCTCCATTTCTCCCCCGCTGCCAGCCCTGTCTCCTTGCTCACATTTCCTGCCAACTCCCAGTTTGCTAGTCCCCTCCCTTGATTTCTGCTTCCAATCAGGGCTGCCTACTCCTGGGTTCCTCCCATAACGCAGCAGGAGAGAAATCAACATTTTCCTATCTATAAATTGAGTTTCTAGAGTCCGCCCCCAGCTTCATCCCCCATTTGAGCCAGAGGGCAGCTCTTATGCATGTGATTGGCCCGTCTGTCTCCATCAGTCATAGAGCATGTCCTTTCCCACGTTGGCTGTTGCAGCAGCTACAAGTTCTGCCCTAGGATATTCTGCTAGAAAACCTGTGTGATGCTGGCAGACCAGGTGTCAGCTCATGCCAAGGCCCCCAGCCTCACTGAACACTGACAAATGCATAGCTGGAAACCAGTCTGGCTCACTGTGTGTTAGCATGGTTAAAAAAGATGTTAAGTTGAAAAGAATCAGGGGGTAGCCGTGTTAGTCTGAATCTGTAAAAAGTAACAGAGGGTCCTGTGGCACCTTTAAGACTAACAGAAGT